TCGCCGTATATGTGTTGTTGTTATTGTTTACTCAATGTAAGTTTGTATGTGTTGTTGTTATTGTTTGCTCAATGTAAGTTTGTATGTGTTGTTGTTATTGTTTACTCAATGTAAGTTTGTATGTGTGTTTGTTGCATTGGTAGATTGTTCGTAATCTAGGCGTTACCAGATCGTCTAGAAACTTCTGTAGCGACAGGCAGGGCTCATATAAATAGAGGAAATGGAAAGGCAGTTAGTCAGTTGTGAATCAGATAGCGAATTGAAACCGTCGAGTAAAGTGCAAAGTAAAGTCGTGTGAATAAAATCATTGTAATAATCGTAATCCGAAAGAACCTGCGTTTTATTTGGTACGCATTGTATCGGGAAATAAAACAACGTCTACACGGGATTTAGTAAAACCCAAGAACGTAACAATATAAAAAAAACTCATATAAAACATGCCTATGATAATTTTATTAAAAAAAACTAACAATTTTTTCTTGTGGTATAGTTTTTTTTCCATGTACTAAAATTTAGTACTTTTTAATATTTTATTTTCGTTTTTTATATGTTTTCTCGAATTTTTGTTTCATGATTTTTTTTTTTTATAATTTTAGGTTTTTATAATTGTATTCTTTTTACATAGCATTTTTATTACTTACTACTTGGGTTTATATATGGTATATAACAATATATACATTTAATTATTTCTTTTTTTCAATATTTAAATACGAAAGAAAACTAAGTTTGTTTCTTCACTTCGTTTGTTTGGTTTCCATAAGTTTGTAATAATTCCTTATGTAGTTGTGTCGGATTTTAATTTCGTTCCAGAAATTGAAATATTTCTTTGTGGTTCAATTTTTTTAAATATAAATCGTTTTCCTTTATATTATAGCATTATATTATGTATATAGTTTCCATTTTCTTGTATGATTTTTATTTTTAGTACACATTTGTGGCTTCTTGTTATATAATTTAAATACAGAACAGTTACAGTACGAAATATGATAAATATTGAATGAAATACATTACTACTTAATTTCAATTATAATTTGTATATACTCGTATGTGAAGTATGTATGTAGGTAGGAGTAACAAATAGCTTAGGTATTGCTTTATATAAAATGTATGTATGTACCTAGAAGAACGATTTAAAACAAAAAAAAAACACAAATTGCGTTATTTTTAATTGAAAAAAAAAAAAACGATGATGAAAAGAAATTCAAAAACAAAATATTTTTAATAAGTTTTGAAACAATTACAGGAAGATCCGACTATATTATAACTAACACCACAGTTTTAAACGTTTTCATGAATACAAAGTCGATATGAAATGCCTGTAACCCCTGTTACAGCCTCAGAACTCAGAACCAATAAGATATTACGGTATAGAGTGTGAACCACCTAGCCAAGATGAGGTCAGAATAAGCAATCTATCGGCTAAAGAATAATAAAGCAACAGGTGCCGATGGGTTATCAGCCGAACTATTCAAACTGGTGGCCAGACGCTGGTCAGAAGCACACGCCAGCTAATTAGTACACATTGTCTAGAGAAATGCATGCTCAATAATTGGAACCTCAGCATCCTATGTCCCGGGCACCAAAAAAAAGAGACAAGAATATATGTGTCAACTATAGAGGAATGAGTCTCCTTTCCATCGCATATAAAGTGCTATCCAGCGTGCTGTGTAAACGACTGAAGCCAATGGTCAATGATATTATTGGATCGTATCAATACGGCTTCAGACCTGGCAATTCAACCATTGACCAGATTTTCACTCTGCGCCAAATTCTATAAAAGACCCACGAAAAACACATCGACACATTTCACTATTCGTCGACTATAAAGCCGTATTAGACAGATCTATCCGTTTAGAGGTATTTAAAGCCATGACTGCGTTCGGTATTCCTGCAAAATTAATACGGCTAGCAGAATAACTTTACCTGGCACAAGATAAGCAGCTAAAGTCGGAAAGGACCTCTCAGAGCCCTTCAATATCAAACTGAAGGATTCAGACAAGGTGACAATTTGTCGTGTGATCTTTTTAACATTCTGCTGGAAAAGGTCGTACGAGATGCAAAGGTGGACAGAAATGACACTCTGTACACCAAACAGCATATGTTACTCGCCTACACCGACGACATCGACATAATGCGTCGAACATTACGCCACCTTTGAAGAAATTGAAAAGGAGTCTGCCGAAGTGCGTTTGACAGTAAATGTCGGGAAGACCAAGCTGATGGTATCAACGCGCAAGACGTCCAGTAGACTTGGACCAACTGTAGAACTTGAAAACTACAGCTTCGAGGTAGTGAAAGATTTTATATACCTTGATTACGCCATAAATAAAACAAATGACATCAGTTTTGAGATACGGAGAAGAATAGTGTTGGCCACTCTAAAAAATCGAGAAATTGGTGCTTATAAGCGGTTTTTTCTTATATGAATGTATTTTATATAGTAAACTGTTTTCTTATATCCGTGCTTTTCTTATATAAGATGTTCTTATATCCGTGGTCTACTGTACTATGGTCTGAGTAAGCAATTTAAAAACAAGTCCAGCTCCCGCCAGACCAAACTCACACTCTACCAGACGCTGATACTGAAGCATGGGTACTTACGCAAGCAGATGAGGCACCTCTTGAAGTGTTTGAGAGAAAAATTCTCCGAAATATATACGGGTCGATTTGAGTTGACGTTGAATATCGCCGTTGAATGAATCATGTGTTGTACCATCTATTCTAGGACATCAGCATTGTCAGACGTATCGAGTGGCAGCGACGTTGGCTAGGTCATGTTTGTGAGAATGGAGAATGGATGCCCCTGCACACAAGGCATGTAAAAGCAAGCCAACTGATGGCTTACGTAGAATGGGAAGGCCAAGAATTCGATGGAAAGTGGAAGCCAATCGCCCATGTGCTGCATTTCGAGTTTGCTCGAATGTGAAACATTTTCCAACATTTGGTGTGCTCCATTCCGAATTCCCAAAAAAATATTGGGAACATAATTCGAGCACATATAGCCTTGTGGATCGAAAAAGAAATGAGATTGTACGTGCTTCTCTGAGCACATAGAAGAATATATCGGAACACGGTATTTCAAATTGGATGGGCGTGCCAGCTAAGTAAGTATGTGAGATTTGTTAATAACTGGCCCAGTTATTTTTTTAGATTTAGTCCCTTTACACTATTGGAAATTAGTCGGACGGAGTCCATAGAAAAAACAGCATTTGTTTTTTAGAATTATGATACGTGTTCGAAATTATTGTTCGGATTCCGTCATTTTAAATGGGAATTGTTGAGCATTTCAAATTGTATTCGTGTTCGCATTTTGTGGTGTAGGTTTTTATGTATATATGTAAATAAATAACAAACAAACAAAAAAGAACTACAAAACTTACTTTTTAAGTAAATTAAGATTGTCATTTTTAAGAATTTAAATTTCTTGATTTTTTTTAGAATAGATTTTCTTTTTATATTTAATTCGATTATGTGTGTTGTTATACAAGTTATGTCAGTGGTCGAGTAGTTTTTTTTTCGTTTAAAATTATATAAAAAGAAAAGATAATAATTAAAATTATTCAGTCAGAGTAAAAACTTTACACAAAATAGTATTTAAAAAAGTAAAGAAAGAAAAAATATATTTTTCAACAGTTTGCAGTTGTCGTAGAATCGGGCAAAACAAACTTTTTTGTTTACTTTAAACAAGAATTTATACAAGGAACTTCTTTTGTTTTGTTAATTAAAAATAAATCAAACAAACACAAACATTTTGGAAATATTATTATATGTGGGCAGGAGCTAAGGAAGCAACAACGAATTCTAAAATATATGTATGTTGTATATATAAAAAGGCAATATATTTTTGTTTTACTTTTTTCTTTCATTGTGATTTTTACACAATAATTACATACAACAACGATAAGTAGTGTTGTGTATGTGGTTATTTATATAAGAACTTATGTTTTCCACAATCCTTAATCTGGTTCGCTATTTATATGTATAGAGTCATTACACTTTTATATATATATATATAATATTTATGTATATTATTCTATAACTATTATTCATTATAATATATATAAGTATGTATGTATTTATTTAAATAAATATTGCTTAAATTTGGTGTTCTATGGTGATTTTTTTGTTTCATTCTTTTGTTTTTCTTTTTTTGGGGGGAGAGAGGAATATATTTTCCCATTATATAATGGGAAAATATGTCGTAATATGTCGTTATATATTTATATATATTGGTGCAGGCATATAAAGCCTTTACATTAAAGCATTGGCGTAAGACTTTTCATTTAACTTAATGTTTAAGACGTCATATATATAGGCGGCGTCAACAATTATTTGTTTGGGGGACTTTTTTCTCTATGTTACAAAGAAATAAAAAAAAAACTCGAGAGAGGGGAAAGGGGTGGTTTGGTCAAAAAAAAACTATTCAATTTTTTATACAAATAGTTGTTGCAAACTTTATTTCTAATACGAAAATTATCCTCCTTTTCATTTGCTCCCTTTCACTCGTTCTCTCTCTTTCACTTACGAAAAAAACGAAACATGCAATAAACACAAATATTTGTGTTTGGACCCATTTCCGGTCTTCGAACAATATACTCCCAATAGCTTTAGTAGTACCATCCATCAGTAAGCATAATAACACTCCCAGATCCAGTTGTTATTTTTGTAACCAATATTTTGCCCGACGCATCCGAGCCGTATACATATCATCAGCATCCAAGGACAATGAAGAAAACGCCGGTGCCGATGCTGGGGTATTGTGAAAGTCATCATGTAATTGTGTAGTCGATGATGATGTCGATGCCATAGAGTCCAAACGCTCACTAACACTGCCCGTATGACTAAATGAACGAGTCGTTAGAAAATCTCGGGCCGATGATGATGACAACGGCAATGCATTGCTGTCATTTGCTCCACCGCCCATTATAAAATCAGCATTCAGATCCTCCTCCCCCGTTGCATTGGGATGAGGTTCATTTGTGGCAGCGGCAGCAACATCAACATTATCATCATCAACAAAACCATACCAATATCACATAACCATTATTTGTAGTGCCACTCATTGATCTATAGTCCGATAGATACGTCGCTGTGGCTCGGGTGTGTAATGGATGCGGGTACGGAAATGTTGTGGTGAACCGGGTACACTTTCAGAGCCACGTCTTGGTGGTGGCAGGGGTGGTGAGGCATTAACAAATCTGAAAAAGATTGGGGAGGAGGGGAAATAATGTTAAAACGGAAATCAGAAACGGGCCATGACGGGGGAGAAAAGTAGGAGAAACTTTCTTCGATATTTATACACAACAAATTGGTCCTAAATGTCTTAAGGGGCTACGGACGTTCTTATATATAGAACAAACCCTCAGCATATGTGAACTTTTTAACTATATAGGAACAAATTCGATGCTCTGTGTCAAGCAACATTGTCAGCCCAGGGATTTTTATCTAAATCTAAATCCGCCTGGGGAGCAGAGCTGAATGCTAACGGACGCGTCCACAGGTTGTATTATAACGGAGCCTTGTGGAATCTTTGTAATTAACTTTAAATGAATTGTAAATTGGCTTAAATTGCAAAGGAATCGAATAAATAAATAAATACCTGAGCGCCTCAACAAGTTTTATTCAGGCTTAGTTGCCAAGTCCTTGCCATGGTAAGAGGCTATGCCATGGTTGACCTCAATTCCTCACTAAAAGCACTTCCTATGGAGCCGAATTTGAGAATTATTTTATATACTGTAAAAAAAAGTTTAGTTCTTTACTATATAGGAAAAATCGACCCTCACTATTTTGAAGCTTTATACTATATAGAACATATTTCATCTTCAGTTTCATGGGACTTTTTTTCTATGTAGAACTCGGTTGCTGTGTAAGAACTTTTCTCCACGGAGGAGACGGAGACAATTGAGCATCTTCTGTGTCACTGTCCAGCCCTGGCTTACAGGCGGCACATACTAGTGGGGGCTCATTTTCCACCGAGTCTTAGCTTCTTCTCAACAACCGAACCTGCTCTAATCTACAGCATAATTAGATATGCTGTAGATTAAAGCAGGTATCTTCTGTCTGATCTTTATAGCCATCGAAATTATTCCAAACTTACCTTCTTATATATTTCTGTAAGCTTATCATCCCTCTTTATTTCCCAAATCTTCTCTCCCCTATAGATCTCTCCTTATCTCTTTTCTTCTCGTGGATGATCACAACGGACCTAACGGTCTCAGAGTGCTGCAGCCACATAAGTGACTGCACATCCCTAAACCTAACCTAACCAAAGTGTAAGGAGACTTTTATTGTATACAAAAAATATCATGTTGAAATGTCTATTAACATTCTATATAAAAAATTTTGGTTGATCCGATATCCTGAAAATATTTTTTTTTTTATAAAAAATTCAAAATTTACTTACCTTCTATTTAATAAGGGCGATGTACCTGGTGGTTGACCACTTAATTCCAAAATATTCTTACGCAACAGCAATGGCGATTGACCGCGATTATAGCGTGGCGGTGGATCTGGCGAACGATGCCTTCTATCCAAATTTGCCAAAATATGGGGTGGTGTATGTGTCGCTGGTATTGCTGAACTACCACCCGAAGCATTTAGATTTGTACCAGCACCTGTGTGTGATGCCGAAACGCCGCCCGTCGATGCAGCATAACGTCGTATAAAACCACCGGCACTTGAACCTTCATAAAAACCTTCAGAACCATTCCCACTTGTGGCTTTTAAGGCGATCGATGCACCATCATTTGATGGTGATGTGGTTTGACTATTACCGGGTGAACTACTGCTACCCGTTGACATGGTGCGATAAAATAGATTCGTTTTGTTATTATCGGCTGTTGCAGCAGCATTATTGGTATCTCCATTTGTGGGCGATGTGGTAGCTGAGTTTGAAGGAGAATTGTTATTGGATGTTTGTATTTTAACATAATTGGACAGCTGGCGTTTCATGGCACCGGCCAATGTATTGAACCAGCCTGTGTTTTGGTATTTGGTATTTTTTTGGGGGCATATGTTTTTTTTTATTTTTCAAGCGTACATTCATTCAGACAAACATACATAGAACGCATAGCATGTAGCGAGCGAGATGATAATTGCAATTCAAAAGTGCAATATATTTGTTTTTGGTTTTTCGTTTGTATATAAAAGAGCATTTTCAAACAATCAATAGAGCGAGCAGTGCAGTGCAAGGCAGTATAAATGTGGATTACAACAACAACACAAGAACCGTGTTATGAGTTAAGTATTGGATTATGGTTTGTATTGTTTGTGGTGAAAATGAGTGATGAGAAAAATAGAAAGAAAGAAAAAAAACACAGAGTGAAAAATTAAAATATTTAAAAAAAGTGAGAATGAAAAATATTGTGAAATATTAATATAGATGTCATGGAAATATTGGTGGTTAAACAGTAAAAGTATGGCTTGAAGCATGGATTAGAAGGATAGCAAAAGAAAAGATTTTAAATTTGTTTTTGTTTTGAGGAAATGTTAAGAAAATTAAGTATCTTCGTGATAATACAACAAATTTGGAATTTGCATCATTTACAAATTATTATTTGTTGAGATCAATTCCAGTGTGCGTGGAATTTCGGAAGATTGCTTCTAACTGAAAGCTTTCATTATTTAATCTGTTGTTAGCAAACCCATCTAAGAGCAAACCACCCTGTCACGTCAGGAAAGATCTTCACAACCTAAAGAGAGAAGCTCAAGTATACAGAATATTGCTTCTTGGCCATCAGGCCTATCAACAAAGATTGGACGTTTCCACGACAGAGGGTTCTACGATCCGAAACGACCCGAGTTATACTCGACCACAGTGGATTATATTGTATTCACTTTGATGCCGTTTAGGAAAGAAAGTTAGAATTAGGGAAATTTTAGATTAAGCATCTTGGGTTTAATCCCCTATGATTCTAGGAATTCTGTGTTTTTGAGAATTCATTCAATCTTCTCGATCCACAACACCTTAGATTGGTTAGTCCGTGAATAGTGTCATATCCCAAGAATTGTTTTCGAAGGTATGTAAATGCTGGCCAGTGACACAGGAAATGTTTCAGCGTTTCCAAAACCCTCTGAATCTGGTGCTACCCTCGCATCCAATCTTGAATAGATGTGCCTTCAGGCTGAAGTGTCCCGTAAGAATATCCGTCTGTCTGCTTTTTTTTTGTTTATCGTTAGAATTTGCTTAGTTTGGTCTTCATTTGGGTCATTCATAAAATTTTTGTTATCTTTCCTGTCCCCTCATTATCCCAAAGAGTTTTGTAGGTCCATTCGTTCATGCCCTCATTTCTTGGTGTGTTACGCTAAAGGGTTTGGCAGTATTAACATCTATTGTGGGTAGTGCAGTGGCACTTCTGGCTAGCTGGTTGGTACCCACATAATTCGTACAGGTCCTTATTGTGAGCAATTATTAATAGTATGTATACATTCCAGTACAGTTTTCGATTTAACTGTTTTGGAGGATATTGCATTTATAGCTTGTTTGATATACGTAATTATATTTGTTGTATTTTGTCCTAGGTTTGACCCTAACCAGTTAAGACACTCTGTTATAGCTTGAACCTTCGCCTGTAGGACCGTGCTGTGATCAGTAAAGCGAAGAGAAATTTCGGCACCTGGTTCATCAATAGAAAATCCATATCCAGTCTTTCCTCCTAGTCGAGAGCCATCTGAAGCAACAGTAAACAGCAGGCATCTGAACTATATATATTCCGCTATTCCATTGTTCTCTATCCGGTAATCAGCAGCTATTGGCATTGTCAGCCCTACTTAATTGCTATCAATTTCTTTTGGCAGATGTCATTCTGTTGAAAAGACCTATCTCCTTTTTTTGTCCGGGTTTACATTTAAGCCCCTCGGTTTAGCCCAATTATAGACTATGTTTAGCACCGTTTCAGTTTTTCTGCAAAGTAAGTGAGGATTCTTTCCCCTCAGAAATATTATAACGTCATCTTCATTGCAGACTGGTTCAAATCCTTCATCGGTTAAATTCCCTAAGAATCCATTTATGGTGGATACCCAAAGGAGCAGTGACAAAATCCCTCTCTTTGGTGTTCCCTGACCTAATTTGTCTCTGGTTGTTATGTCCAGTATGCTTGCTACAGCTAATCCATCTATTCCTTAGCATATATAGTTAAACCAGTCTATAACCTATTATCCAAAAACAAAATTTCCTATCGATTCCATTCCATTTGCTAAAAGCATTATTTTTCGTTCGTGTTTTTTTTTTTTTTTTTTGTATATTCAAATGTAATAAAGCCATTCAAGCAATGTTTTGAAATGCAAAATAAAAACTGAAAACAAAACCATAAAAGAAGAGAACAGAACCAAAAAATAGCACATTGTAACCACTTACCGCTTTCCGATTTATAATTGTTCTCCTTTGTGGCCGTTGTAGATGTTCCACCATTGTTTGCATTGGCTATCGAAGCTGATGCGGCCGCCGTCGCTGCGGCAGTCGATGGTGATATATTGCCCTGATGATGCCTTTGGTTATAGAGTTTACTTAATTTGGTAACTGTTGGACTTGTAACACCCATCCGTTGATTTTGATTGCCACCACCACCAGAAGCAGCATCATCGGGTGGTGAAATGGGTGGCGATCTGGAACCACGCATAACATTTGCATAAGGAGTATTTGTTAGATATTGTTGAGGCAGTGGTTGATATTGCAAATGACCTGCTGTTGGATTGCTGGACGCTGAAGTTGGTGATGCTTTTGTTGCTGCTGTTGCCGTCGTGCCAAAACCCATTGTTGCTGTTTGTGGGGGTGATGTAGGCGATGATGATAGCTTACTATCATAACTTGACATTAAGGGTAAACTTCTTGGTCCATGCTGATGACGATGTGGCTGTTGTTGTGGCTCTTGAGCTGACGACAATGATGATGACGGCATATCACCACCAATTTGTGAACATTGTGAAGATTGTGTAGATGATTGACTAGACGTTGAATACGATGACAGGGTACTTGATGAGGCAATTGGTATGTGCGAACTAAAATGTTGATGTTGTTGTGACTGTGGCGACGAATTAGCAGATGTCTGATAAAAATTGCTGTGATGAAAAGGATTTGTGCTATCATTTGATGATGACGATGGTGAATTTTTATTATAAAATGTATGATGACTTTGTTGATGATGTTGTTGTCGTTCTAGCTCTTTTTCCCGTAATTGATTTTGTTGATGATAGAAACGTTGAAGGACTAGAAAAAAAAATAATAATTGTATATGTTATAAATTTATAAGACTAAAAATATGTTAAAGCGCAGTATTCCAAACGTCTCCCAGGTATTGTGACTTTTCAGTCGAAAGTTTGTCATTTGTAGAGGGTCATTTCCGTTATAATGGAAATTATAATTTAATGTACTATACATATTTTATATCTATATCTGTGTTGGTCAATGAACCTTGTAGAGGGGATCATCAACTTCTTATGTTTTATATTTGAAGTCCAGAATTGTGGACGCAGTATTTTGCGATAGTCCGAGATTGCTGGCTGCCGAAGCTACTTTCATAAATATTCTACGTTGTCTGTCGGCCGCAACAACATCTTGACGGCATTTATTATCGTGAATAATGAATTTTAGAATATTCTCCCCTCGTAATGAACAATTCCACGGCAAAATACAAGGCTTTCTATACTAATTATTATTTAATTTTAAATGTTTCTACCTATGTATTGGACACTATGCCTTCATATAGGACGATGTAAATGTGCCTCTACATTAGACCACAGGAAACGCAATCGTATTAATCCTCAGTCTCGAACTCTACAAGGTCAGACTTCAATGAACCCCCAACATGTTGCCGACCCAAGCAACTCCCCTGGACCACACATTTGCCTCAAGTCCTGTTACTCTCGACGACGTGAATGAAAGCTTGGAGAGGAAGACGGATTTTCTCTCAATTTATTAGAGGAAGCCGGCTCCTTCCGCCTTAGTCAGGACGACGTGGCGACGAATTAGCAGACGGTCAGGAGAGCATCCCGAATCAACGAATGATATTAAGAGTGACTTCTTGATTGAAAGGATTCCTAGACCCAGTGCGAAGACCATCACTGCAGTCCAAAAAAGGAGGGATTGATGTCGACCTGCGTCGACTGGCCCTGCGGCAATTGTGTTTACAGAATGTGGCGAATCCTTTGTTTCACTACATTTCTGGACTTCTCTTCGTCCCCTACTTGAATCTTTACCATTCCAACCCCCTTATCAAAACAAGTTAACATTTATATTTTTTTCTGCTTACCTAAAGGACTATGATTGCCTGGAACACGTTGTGGTTGAGCTTCATTTTTGGTCAATGTTGTTGTTGTGGCTGGTGGTGGTATCATTGAAGATTTCTCTTCGTGAATTTGTTGATGTTGTTGCAATGGTTTGTCTTGTTGCCTTTCAAAGATATCCAATCCCGATGATGCTGCCGTACCGGGACTAATATCTGTGGAAGGTTTCTTTGCTGCTGTGATATTATATTTGGAATCGCTACCCATCTGATATCGTTTACGTTGTAAAGCTGGAGAATCTGTTGCAATCGACGTTTGCGTCTTATTCACATTTGTCGAATGATCCATGGTATCAAATGCGGAATAACTCGTATCCTGGGAACATGGCATACGAAATAATGGATCAATTTGATTGGGTTGAACTGTATTGGAAGTATTTTTCTTTTGACTAAATGGTGATGTTGTCAAATTGCGTAAAATTGATTGACCTGCAAATGAAAGAAAGTTTGTGAAAAAATAATAATAAATATAATTACGGTCTACTGATCATACCAATTGAGGATAGTACTGATTCCTTTTTGGGACTTTCATCACCACCACCTGACGCTGCCGTTGTGTTATTATAACGATTATATGATGACGAACCATTAAATTTCTTTGGCATAAACGGTGATTTCCGACATAATTTATGCATTTCGTTAACTAATTTTGTATCTCGTTCCTGATTAGTATTGAGCGTGGTTATACTAGGCGGTGACAAAGGACTTGAGCTAGTGGCACTGCTGCTGCCTGAACCACTTGGTAATCGCTCCAAGTTAGGTCGTGTATGGCCAACATTAGATGTTGCAGCACCTGATGATGTTGCCATCGTTGATCCCTGATTATAATTTATTGTTCCTGTTGCAGTTGTTGTGGTTGTGTTTGCATTACTGCTATTGTATTGATTTATAGATTGAGGTAGTTGTGACGGCTGCTGATGATGTTCTCGATGATAACTATTAGTACGTTGTGGCTGATGATAGTGGCTTCCAGTACCGTAATAACTTGGTATTTGCGATTGTGATGATGCTGTTGCTGCTGCTGCTGATGATGATGCCAATGAGGATTTTGTTGTATTTATTGTCATTTTTGTCGTTGCTGTTCCTGTTATAGCTCCTGTTACAAATGGATTTGTATTTGACGATGAGGATGGCGATGCTGTTGCAGCTGATGATAGTGTCGATGATGATGCGGATGTATCATAGTTTAAAGCATTGTGTGGATTTTTATAATGTTTGCTAGCATCGTAGGTTGCCGGGATCTTCGATGTGGGTATTTGTGTTCTACAAAAAGCGTAAAATTTAAGAATCAAAACATATTAGTTCAAATATTATATATTGAGTTCATGTTGTTGTTATTTACGGACATTTATAGATTTGGCAATAAGGTATCTTAACTAGATTCGTATAAAACAAAAGATATAGAATATGGAGGGGGTCAAAGAAAGAATTTTGTTTAGGCTAGGTTCCCATTTATAGAAATAAATTGAATAAAAACACAGTACATTCCTTCATCTTATACCCATATGTAAATATCGACAGGCCGGTCACTCGCCCAGGAATCCCTACTAGGAAACTCTATTCTAAACTTTGCATAACCTAACAGAAACCTTATAGGAACCCTCGAAAGACAAACTGGGATAAATTCAAAACAAATTCAAATTCTAAACAGGAACTCTTCTAAGGAGCTGTAAGGCTTCTTGTCCTTTGACATAGGGGAGACTGAGGCACCTTCGGCATTTTTTTTTCAAACTCTATATCTCAGTACTTATTCAACATATATATAAACTTTATGGCTGATTATTGTCCTCTGACACTTAATTATAAAAAATAGTACCAAAAAAATATAAAAAAATAGTATTAGTTAAAAAATTTTACAGTTTTGTAAAAAAAGTCAAATTCGCCGAATGTGCCCCAACCCGGGGTAGCTTCGGCATTTGATGGGGCACATTCGGCACCATAGTCATAGCCTGGTAATTATCATCGCTATCAGTCTGGTTCAGATCCTCTAAAGGCACTATTTTAAATTCAGATCCTCTAAAGGCACTATTTGATTTTAATACGCCACACAATGTTTGAACTATAGGGCTTTATTTTCTAGCGGCGGACGTTTACATCTCAAGGTCGCACACACCATCAGAAATAGGGGTTTTCTATCGCATTTTCGTCAATACAAGCACGTTTGATCTTATATATGCAATTTCGAACCATATTAAAGGATTAGTTTTAAAGACAAACTCAAAAACATTTTAAGGAAATAATATTGCACAATCTGTATATGGGCGAATGTGCCCCACTTTAAAATGCCGAATGGACCCCGAATGTACTTTTTCTATTTTTTTTTTTTTTCATTTTTTTTCGATCAGTTTTGTAAAAGCATTATATTTATAAATATTTCTATAATAATACACATCGTAGTTAACTACATTTTAATAATATTTTCTTAAAAATTTATAAAGTTTTATACACGAAATACATCTATAAAAATACAAAAACCCATGTATCTAAATAAGCTTATTAGCTGGAAATTTCAAACTTTGTGTCAGTTATTTATTTCGATATTCGATACCTATGTATCGAAACTAATGATGTACGGTGAGAGCTTCATATCGAAAACGCGATTGCCGAAGGTGTCCCGATGCCGAAGGTGCCCCAGTCTCCCCTACCCTCAGGCGATATGGTGGTCAAAAACCTGGCATACTTGAGGAAGGCTGCTAGGAAATCATAAAGCTAACAAGACGAATCTGATGTCGTTATGAGGGAAACTATAGTCACTGTATGTGATTAGTCCTCTCTAAAAGAATACTAGCGTGGCCAAAATTCAGGACCGTTTCCCGGAGACTCTGATACATCTTGCAGCCTGGAATTTATCCAGAAAATTCAGTGGTTGGATATTCAAGATTGCATTCAAGGCTGCCTGTGGTGTGATTCTCAGCACTTCGGTTGTCAGGATAGACGCCGATCGCTGTACAGTACCCATTTTAGCAAGCATGCTTGTGTACTTGTTATGGCAACCATAAGTAATAGAATATTTACATATTATAATTAAAATAAATACAGCAACATGCAAATGGGTTTAGTAAAAGGATACCAAAAAATATATATCCAAAACCAAAAGGAATGCAAATAAAATAAAAAAGAAATTAAAGAAATAAGTTACAAAATATGGTAACCATTGAGGATTGGGATACACAAAATTAATTTAAATACTTTACACTACCTCCTCCTCAAGGGTTACACACATTTTTACGTATGAATTAATAAATGAAAGTTATTAAACAAAAATAAATGAAATTAAATGAATACAAATACAAAATAATTCAAAATCAAAGTACTTACGAGGGCATGGATTTGGGGGAGTGAACAAAAGTAGTATTTTCATAATGTAAATGTAGTCTACATTTGTTGTTTGAATTGTTTTTAAAACAATGCAAACAAAGTGTGTTGTTGTTAAGTTTAACGTCTATTTTTTTTCGTTTGTTTGATGCTTTTTTAATATTATTATTTTTTTATTTAAAAAAACATAATATTTTTCTTGTTTATTATTTCGTTTCTATTTTATGGTTTTTCATTTGTATGTAGTAGAGGGAGTTTGTTTGTTTTAGGGGATTAGAATTAAAGTTACCTACAAATAAAAAGATTAATAAAAATAAAAAAAACAAATATAATAACAAAACAAAATATTAGATAATAAAATAACAACATAACCAATTAATATTTTGAAAACAAAAAAAATAAATTATTAATTTTGTTAATATAGATTAAAATATTATAATAAACAAAAAGAAGGAAATGAAAAAATGTATACAAAATTAAACCATATTTATTTTTTTATTAAATGAAATCAAAAGCAAGCACTAGTTTTTTCTTATTCTTCTTCAAATTATTTATAATTTCTTGGTTGTATTGAATTCTATATAGAAATAGTTAAGCAAATCATCACTACTCACCTACGATGAGTTCTAATACCCGTTGAATCAACAACAGATCTAAACCATTGGGGTATATCGACATCAGCTTCTTCATAGTATTTAATAAAAGGCTGTTCCAAAAGTTCAGGATATTTGGGACGTTGCATATGGTCCTTTGTTAAACTGAAAATTAATTATTCGAAATGTATAAAATAAAATGTTTATTATAAGTTTAAAATAGTTGAATGTAAAATGAAAGGTTACTAGACTCTGAAATTAGAAATACTATCAATCCCAATACAATTAGCAGATTCCAGCATGCCTTACATGAAGTGGTCGGACATATCGAGAAGAATATGGAGACCTCCGGTTACACATTGACTGCGTTCCTTGACATTGAAGGGGCCTTTAACAATATGAAGCTGGACGCTATTCATTCTGCTCTCGATAGTAGTCAGGTATCCCCTCCCTCCTTGGATTGATAGAATTATCATTTCGTCCATTGGAGAGAGTTCCGTGAGGAAATCTGTTAACAGAGGCACATCACAGGGAGGAATACTCCTCTAGTCCTACTATGAATTCTGGTGATAAATGGCGATGATGTAGTCTTGCTAGTTGGTTGTGAAGTTTCTGCCGACTATTTCTGACACCATACAGGGTGCCTTATTAACTCTGTCCAACTAGGCACACGCAAATGGTCTTGGCGTAAACCCCACGAAGACAGAAATGGTACTATTCAATAGGAAACGTAAGATCCCAACCTTTCGATTGCCATCCTTGAATGGAGTCACAGTATCCCTTTCCATAGGTACACAGTCCTTGATCACAAACTAACGAAGAAAAGGAATGTTGAGAAACGCACTAAGAAAGGTCTTGTAGCGCTCTACTCCTGCAAGAACTCTATAGGTATGTAGCGGTTGAACTCTCCATTCTGTAAATATGGTTGCCTTGTATGGTGGCAGGGGTCAACAAGAAGACACTGCTGGCTAATATGAGTACTGTACTGCGATCAGCGTTGATCTTGACTGCCGGAGCGCTAAGAAGCACACCATGGGTAGCCTTGAATGCAATATTGAATCTCCAACCACTGGATTTTCTGGTTAAATTCCAGGCTGCAAGATGTACTCAAAGGCTCCGGGAAACGGATGCCTGGACGTTGTTGAATTTTGGCTTCGCTAGTATCCCTAAAACGACGAAAGTTTGTGACTTTTTAGAGAGGAGTACTCACCTCAGTGACTATACTCCCTCTTATAACGACTTTAACGACATCAGATTAGAGATACCTAGTAGGGAATCCTGGGCAAGTGGCTCCTTACCTCTGTCGATATTTACAGACGGGCCGAAGATGGAGGGAGGTACTGGTGCAGGCGTTTACTGCAAGGAACTTGCCATTTACAACTTTTTTAAACTTAACAAACTTTTTAGCGTTTTCAGGCAGAAATCCTGGCAATCACGAAAGAGGATGAGATAGTCAAAACACTTACTGCCGATAACATAGGACCGTTGACTATATATGTCGATAGTCAGGCGGCCCTTAGGTCAAGTCGTGTACTATTAACTCAAAAGCGGTTCGTGACTACAAAGATGCTCTTCATGACGGATAGATAAATTATGTTGGGTAGCCGATGAGCTTGATGGGGTTCGCAGTCGTCCAATCAACCTGCTGAGGGATCTGTACAACCTCCCATGGGCTACTTTATTGACCAATTTCTGTATGAGCTACTGCAAGGTAGTCGGCAACAGATGGTCAACAGAACCTGGATGCAGGATTTCAAAACCATCTGGCCAGAATTCTCTCGCCGTAAAACGTCTTCCCTCTTGTCTCAAATTAAGAAGGAGATACAATTTGTTGTGGGGATTTAACAGATTAGATCTCTTATTTCTAAATGGAACATTAACGGGGTGGATTATGAGGGATGAGGAAGAGCTAGAAACAATTAAAGATATACTCTGTAGGTGTCCATCGCTAAGTGGCAGAATGTACACAGACATTTCGGCAAATATGAAATTTATAATCTGGCATTCTTCTACGGAATAGATGTGTTAAACTTCATCTATCTCTTCCCCCTCCTTTCCACTTTCCTTTAATCCTTTCTTTTCAGGTATCCAGGATGAGCATAATGAACAAAAGTCTCTGAGGGAACGGCTACCGCACATCCCTTAACCTAACCTACACTCCACTTTATGGGAGTGGGTATATCACTTGAGAAATAGTAGATAACCTAGATTATGGTGCTGAGCAAAAACACTTTCGGATTCCTAATAGCTCTTATATTTAAATGTAGTTAGTATATCACCAGTACAAAAACCAATTAACTTACCATTTATTAACAAAACTGTGAAATTCTTCACTAAAATGAAAATCGGCATTTTCGGGTAATTTTGGTGGTTCGCTGGCTAGGACTTTTGTTAAAACTTCAAAATCTGTATTACAACCTTCATAGGGAGACCTAGCCGTTGCCAATTCAACTAGAGTAATACCCAAAGACCAAACATCAGCTCGAATGTCATATTTTATTTTTTTAGGGTCGATGCGTTCGGGCTGTAATTAAAAAAAGATAAAAAAATTATAGTAAATATTTGTAGTAAAAACACATTAACTCACGGCCATATATGCTGCACATCCTGCTGACCGGGTGGCTGCCTTTGAATCCACCAAACGACCACTAATACCAAAATCACAGAGTTTTATGTTACCACGTTCATCAATTAATATATTTGATGGTTTGACATCACGATGTATAACACCATGTTTATCCTTTAGATAGGATAAGGCTTTTACTGTCTATAAATATGAAAAAAAAACACACATTAAAAATTTTATAAATTAAAACAAATTCAAAAACTTACCGCCACCGTCACCTTTCCCAATATTTGTTCTGGCACCGGTTGCTTCGATAATTTCAATAATTTATCAAAACACATCGACATCAATTCCATGCATATCCATACATCAGCATCCGTTATAAAACAACCGAAACATTGTACTATATATTGGCAGTCGTGTGATTTCAGTACCACATCCAAATCCATAAGGATACGTTTATTCTCTTCCGTATTGCCGGTACGACGCATTTGTTTTACGGCAATTATAGTGCCACTGGGTTTGTGACGCATCTTGACGACATTCCCGCTTGTGCCATTGCCCAAGTCGCCCAAATGTTCGAGATCTTTGATGTCGGATTTGTATTTGTGATTGTTTATTGTTAAAATACCAGTCTGTTTGTGAATTTTCTTTAGTTTCTTCTCGGTTTCAGATTCCGTTGCTGGGGCAGGTGAATGTGGAAAATTTAATGTCATTTTACTTCGATTTGGTATGCCATCCACTGGAAAAGATCACAATAAAAAAAGAATTAGACTTATCGATAAAAGGACCTTTTGTGTAGGAATAGCATTTGTTTTGTAAGAAATTGTTGTAATATTTATGGGTCAACAATCGATATCTGGTGTCAACATTCCCTTACGGATTAGTTAGAGTGCCAAAGCCATAGATAGCAGCAATGGACAATAAGGTGTGTCGAAGAGAAGCAATCTTATTAATTTTATGCTTTATATGAGAAATTTAAAAAATATATTCCATATAGCTGGAAAGTATCTCAAAAATGTCGGTACTGTCAAGACCCACGAAGGACGTTATGGTTTCATGTTCTGGCGCCGTGGAAGGTCGTAGCAAGAACTGAATTCAAACAGTTTATTAAACTCAAAACTATCTTCCAATAAATTACGAGCGACTACACTAACCTCCCCAGTCACAATGATCTCTGAACGGTTGAGGATTTTGTGAAAGCTGTGAACTAGTTTACGGGAACTCTTATGAGATTATATAAGGCTTCTTGTCTTTTAACATATCCTGTGAGGAATTATCAGTATGGTGGTCAAATAACCTAACATTCTTGCGAAATGCCGCTCGAAAAGCGTATAACAAAGCTAGCGAGACGAAACTTAGTGCAGATAGGGACGTTTACAGAGAAAATTTCAATAGGTGCAAAAGTGAAATCAGGATGGCTAAACGTAGGTGCTGGATTTGCTTTAGCGAATCAATCGATGGAGTTAATGAAGCGGCCAGATTTTGTAGAGTAATATCTAAAGATCGCAAATCAATCGGTAGTATAAGGCGAACTGAACGTGGACAAACTCCCGAAGGGAGACTCTAGATCTTTTCTTGATCGACCCACTTCCTGATGTGCAACATACACGGTGACATATGGTTCGGACCAAGGAGGACCAAAACATGGAATGGGCAATAAATAAATATCAACCCTACAAACCTCTTGGGCTAGATAACATAATACCGGCCATGTAGCAGCATGCAGATAGAGGGATTTTTTGGGGCTTGCCTATTTTTATCGTACATACCTAGTCTATTGAAAGAGACAACTGTGAGCTTCACTCCGAAGGCCGGGAAGCCAGGTAACACGCCTATTTTCCTTTCTACCCAAGACACTTGAAAAATCACTAGACGTCGAAATTAGGAATACCTTTTATTTAAACAAGATTAGCAAATCCCAACACGCCTACATCAAAGGGAAATTTGTGAATACTGTATTACATTCGGTGGTCGGACACATAGGAAATAATATGGAAAATTCCGTTTAAACATTGGCTGCGTTCCTCGATATTGAAGGAACTTTCTATAATGTAAAGCTGGACGCAATCCATTCTGCTCTCGAATGTAAAAGTGTATTTTCTCTTCAGAATGGATTGATAGAATGCTGGAACGCAGAATTATCAATTCATCTAATCTCTAATCTGTCAACAGAGGAACAACACAGGAGGGAGTTCTCTCTCCTCTACTATGTTTTCTGGTAAAAAATGCCGATGATGTAGTCCTGTTAGTCAGGGAGAAATTTCTGCAGACTATTTTCGATATAATGCCTCAGTGCCTCATTAACTTTGTCTAAATGGACGCAGACCAATTGACTTGGGATAAACCCAATAAAATCAGGAATGGTAGTCGTCACTAAGAAACGTAAGATCTCAAACTTTCGTCTGTCATGGAGAGTCATAGAGAGTAGAGTAACCATAAACCTTTTCTTAGAAGCAAAATGCTTAGGAACAGCCCCTGACCACAAGATAACATGGAAAAGGAATCTTTTTAGCGTTTTTTATGCAGAAAACTTAGCAATCACAAAATCGGCTGAAATAGTCAAAAAACTTACTGCTGACAATAGGTGTGTCTGGTTATTTTACAGAAACATTTATTCAGTAAGTTCTAGTTCAGAGAGTAATCCCTTTTTACTATCTTTTGCGATAATACTGAGAAAAGTAAACAGACCACATTTAGTAAGATTCAGCAAATAAACAGCTGTTCAAGAAAACATTTGATTTGAAATAAACAACAAACAAAGGATGAACACAGTTTTTTGTATTGCATTTAATATTAAAAATAAAATGAATAATAAAAGAAAAATTGATTTGATATGTTCCCCGGGAGCATTTATAAGGAATTAGTTTCTAATTTAATGAAACTTTGCATTACTTACGAATTTTCTTCCATTTTCAGTAATTTTTATACAACATAACTTAAAATTGAACTTTGCAAATTAAAAAAATGTTTTGAATAATTTTTGTGTTTGGTCATAAAACAGCTGATCCAAAAATGGCTGAGTTTGCAAAATCTTACTGCATAAAATTCTTTCAGTAAACTGCTCTGTCAAACTTGCTCTCTCACTTGACTCTATTTTTGGGTAAACAGACAACATTTAGTAACAATTGTTACCAAATATCGAGTAAACAGAGAGAGCTAATGTAGGGCTTGTGAATATGTATGTCGATAGTCAGACGGCCCCTAAGGCACTTAAGCCCTGTACTAAAAATTCGTGACTGCAAGGGTGCTATTCATCGTTAAATTTTGTTGGGTTCCAGGACATAGATGGGAATGAAATAGCTGACGAGCTTGCTCGAGAGGGTTCGGATTCGTACAATCAACCGATTGAGGGATCTGTACACCCTCCTATTGGCTATTTCATTGGCAAAATCTGTATAAGCTACTGCGAGGTAGTCGGTAACAAGCAGAACCAGCTCTTCCTCATCCTCTATGTAAGGATGAGGAAGAGCTGGAAACAATTGAACATCTACTCTGTAGGTGTTAATCGCCAATTAGCAGAAGACAACGACAGTTTGGTAAATATGAAAGTACTCGTAATAATCGAGCATTCTTCACCGGAATAGATCAAAAGCAGATCCTTAGCTTTGTTAAAACTATATTTTTATAATTATTTAGAAATAAATTTTAAGCAAAATGTTGACAATTTTAAGCAAATGTTGAAATAGTGGACCGATATCGAAACGGCTGAAGCTAGAATCTTGAAATTTTGGGTGAGGGTCAATCTTGGCCCAAAGGTTACAGATAAGGATGTTTTTTTTTTCAAGTACTAAATGTGGTATTATTTGTAATTGGAGAACCGGTACACCTAAAACTTAAAAAATTGAAATGAGGATCACGGATAGGGTGTAGAATAAGTATCCGAAAAGTACTAAAATGTACTAAATTTGGTACAGTTTCGTAGCATGTGAACGGAAAATTTGGAAACTTGAAATTTGGAATGCGAATCAAGGTAGAGAAGCAGGATCGATATAAGGAGGAAGTTTTGGAATTGTGTACTCATGTATGCGAAAAGTACTATATGGTACTATATTTGGTACAATTTTAATTTGGTGGTACGAACATATTCCAATCGTACCTATGTGTACGAAAAGTACCACTTCGTTTTATAATTGGTACAATTTGGCAACCATAGACCTGGATCCTAAAATGTGGAGTTAGGAACATTGTTGGGGTGTAGGATTGGGGTATGTACGAAATTTTAAAATTTCGTACCAAATTTGAATTTGGGTGAACCGATAGAGCTGGAATATTGACATTTGGATTGGTCTTTGTAGAACGTTTTGGAAATGTACCAAATTTGGATTTGGGTGAACCGACAGATCTGGAATATTGAAAATTAAGGGTAGGATAACTGTTGAACTATGTAGAAAGTTTTGTAAATTCATTCATATCCAAATTTGGTACCTTTTAGTACACATTACTAAAAGGTACCAAATTTGGATTTGTGTGAACCGACAGATGTGGAATCTTGAAAGTATAGGTTAGGATAACTGTTGAACTATGTAGAAAGTTTTGGTAATTCGTACTAAATGGTACCAAATTTGACATGTGTAGTTAGGACCACTGCTAGGATGTTGTGGCACTAAATTTGGTACAATTTGAATAAATTGGGTAATAAGATATCCATTGGATTGCATGAGGTAGGTAGTAATGGAAAGTTGTATTTAGGTGTACCTAATTTGATACAAATTAAACTTAGACGAAACGATAGAATCCTAATTTTTGGAATTAAGATTGGGATATGTGGGAAGTTTGGAAATTCGTACTTATGATTTTTAAAGTAGGTAGTTATGGAAATTTATATTAATGTGTACTGACTGATACTAAATTTGTATTTGAAATGTGGAATTTTTTTAAGAAATAAGTATTACAAGAGTTCAAAGGGTAAAAAATGATGCGAAATTTAGTATACAGCTAGATTTATGTTTTTAAATAATTCCAAACGTCCTCCTTTCTGCTTCGCATGGTCTGGCTTTATTTGGGTCCCAATTAGCTACGACCAATTCTTGATCACTGGTTAAAGTGAGATAAGCGCGAGAGTTTTGTGCAAACTTTGTATAATCAACTCGGTAAGCTAAATAAATACTGAAGATATTTCAGAAGACAGCAGAGCTAGTGATCTATGATATGTCGATAGTCTAGTGGTTCTTAAGGCAATCGACTGTGCGGTCGATATGCTGATTGAGGGTATTACTTGGCAAATAGTCCACAAACTCTCCTGCAAGACTGCAGGCAGCATCTACTAAATAGATGTCCAGCGCTAAAAAAACATCTACTGTCAGATACGATTATATTAATACTATAAGTTGCTTCTCCGGAGTAGACCCCATTAAAATTCTTAGATTTGCCACAATACTATAACGTCTATATCTTCCTCCTCTCTCTTCCTCCGTTTTCCTGTAATCATAATTTTAACTTTTCAGGTACCCAGAATTTGCACAATGGACCAAGGGTCTTCAAATGAAAACAGCTGATAAATAATTGTTTGTTTGAACATCCTATAACCTAACCTACGATGTGAGTTATGTTTGGTTTAATTTATGTTGAATTATAATATGAACCCAAAGAGTACACACTACTATACCGAAAATAGTGTAGAGTGTCATATAGTTGTCTCCGTTTCAATTTTTTCCTTTTCCTGGTTTAATGTGGTTTTAAATTATTAAGCGTGGTTTTATATTTGTCGGGATCGGGATCGGTGTTGAGAGTTTCTCTCTCTCAGTGGTAAATTGTGAATTGTGTTGGAAAACATTACCACAGGTAGGAACAAAAAAATTCGAAAAGGTACCTAAAATTCTACTTCAAATGATAATAAATCATAATTATCGAGAAATATTGGCCAATATTTATACCAGTTATTTGTATAAATAATATATGTTATAATTTAAACGTAAATGTATTCATGAATATGTCAATTCGTTCCTTTTGTGAATAAAAAGTACGCTTGTTACAAAATTAAAAATAGCGCAACTCTAATTACTCTCTCAAGAAAGAGAAACTCTCAACACCGATCCCGATCCCGACAAATATAAAACCACGCTAATTAAAACATGGACAATATGGTTTGAATATCGCACAATATTAAAAGAAATAATCGTGGTATTTCCATTACATCTTAAGTAAAATTGTCAATGTTTGTGAGATGAAGGAGCACCTCTTCAATAAACACATATTTTCCTCTTTGACTGTTTTACAATAACATTCGTCGTTACCCACTGACGGATGAATGCCTTCCCTTATTTTACCCTACTTTACAAACAATGCAACAACAACAGCAGCACAACGCCAATCATTACATTTGGTTCAAGGCATTTTTCCTGGTTTCATTCATAAAAACCGCAACAACAATAAGCCAAAAATATCTACGACCAATCAAACAAACAACAACAACAAAAATACATTTGCTCCGGAAATACCAAAAATCTCAAAGTAATACAAAAACAGCAACAGCAAGTCAAATCTTCTTTTTTTACTCTCTCAGTCTCTGCCGCAGTTCGAATGAAGAAAACATCAAAACAAAACATACGCACGTACACGTTCTCTCACTCTTCCTCTCTTGTTCATACATTGAGAAAAAAACAACGTACGCATAACAATGCAGCGACGTCAACGCAGACGTCATACGATAGCAGAGCAACAGCAACAACAACAATGCAAAATTGAAAGACGATTTTCTTTGCAAAAAGAATAAAAATAACAACAACTACAACCTAATAGCATGTATTAGAGAGTGGCGGGTGAGGGTGGGTGGCAGCCTAGAGCACACAAACATTAATTGAAAATTTTTCAAAGCAAAGACGACGACGACGGCGAAGAACAAGAAGAAGATACAAAGTGGTGGAAGTAGTAATCAACAGAGAATAAGAAAAGCAGAAAATAGTATAACCAAGAAACTCAAAAGCATATGTATGTTCGTGTGTTTGCATGATACGAACAAAAAACTACATACATATGCTAAGAGATCGAACAATAATTTATGTGTTTATTGCGTTTTGTTGGTGGGCTGCGACGACAAACAGACCAACAGACAATCCTTGACTATATACTGTCTGTCTATTTTCGAAAAAGGCCAAAACAAAAATAAGACATTATTTTGCAAATATCATGCGACCGACGAAATGCAAGATGCGCGAGGGCGTTGAAGACTTATTTTTTTGTGGTGGTGGTACCACTCTTCACAGGGTAATACTTACATCCCGGTGGCCGTCTCCTAACTTCGGGTACGGGTGATGTTTCATAAACCATTCTGGAGGAATCATTTTCTTCAAGTAATCGCTGTTCCAGCAACTGCAGTTTAAAAGTTATTTGATCCATTTTTTAGAGGTGTATGTATGTGCGCCGCGCTGCTTCCTTCTACTCAGCCACCACAGCCGAGCGAGCAATAGAAATAATGTTTCACAAAAATATGAAAAACCACTTCAGTGGTTGTTGCACTATTTTCTTCTTTCTTTTCTTTTTGTTACGTTTTCGATTCTCGATTCTTGACCAAGCAATTCTATTCTATATATATAGCATGAAGAAAAGATTCTTTTTTTCCTTCACAACACAGGTAAACACACTATATACACATGACACTTTATTTCGTTATAAATGATGGTGGCGCTCGTTTGCTCTGCTCCTCTCTCACCCGATTTTTTCTACTTTTTTCATCTATATTTTTTCCCAATTTTTTTCTTTGCCTTTGTTTTCTTGGCTGTGATTGCAATTTCGTTTTTCATTCACTTGCACAATTATTACATTATTTTCTTTGGGGGAATTCTTTTCTCTATATCGTGGAGTTTTATTTATACACTTTATATTTGCTCCTCATGTTTTGTTTTTGGCCATAATTTACTTAAAAAAATATTCAGTATTTTCTTGGTAAAAAAAATCTCGCCCCATCGAGAGAACAAAGCCGACCTCTTTTGACATTCGACGTTGGTGCGACATTTTCTTGTGATAAATCGATAAATGAAATTATCGAGCAATCACAATACACAAGAAACGATTTTTGTTATCGAAATATAGTCGTGTTTTATTTTTCCATATGATTTATTAGCAGCTTAGTTTTAGAGACTTTCAAGTTTTTACAGAATTTGAAAAGTGGAATTTCCAATGCGATGTGTTATAAAAGGAAAAAATGGCGTCCTTTGAGACAAATGTTTGTTCCACTTTTATTTGTCAAATATCAGACTACGAAATTAAATTGATTTCAAATGCCCATTCCATATAAAAAAATGGGCATTTGGATTTACGAAATCCACCCGATTTCAAATGTAAATTCAAATTAAATTTGTGAACAGAATTAACGTGACGTTTACGATGTTTGTGGAATTGACGGTTCAAATCAAGTGGATTAATAATCTACACGCACTCTAAATTTAAATTTAAAAACTTGTAGATATTAGCAGTGCGGGAGCAGACCTTTTGGTCATGACATTGACTTCTGAGATCGTGTAGATTTCATAAATCTGAACGTTATTTAAAACGACTGCTATCGATATAAGTGTAATTCAAAAGAATTTTTTGTTGGAAAAGGCTTTACAAAACATATATGGTATGTTCCCATACTGCAAGAATCTACTAGTTTTTACTCCGATAACACTTTATTCCTTTATGATATCGAAGAAAATAGTAAAAACAGTGGTTTCCAATAAGATTTTTTATTGTGGTATTCAAAGGTGAAAACAATAATCCCGTACTGCAAGAATCTACTATATTTTACTATTTGTTTCAATATCTTAAAGGAAAAATGGTTATCGTAGTAAAATTTAGAACCTCAGAAACCATGATACAATTTTACAGAGCAGGTTGATGCCTTCTCTGTAATAGGTTTCTTCTCCGCAATTTGTTGTTCAACGACAGCGCCATACGAGGTCGATGGGTCAGTCCATGGCACAATGAATAGGTAGTCCATTTAGCGCAGCTGATGTCTTGATTAACTGTCAAAGTGGGTAATTTCTATTTGAATTCGATGTGCAGCGTTGCCAACCATTTGAAATATTATGTATATGGAAAAATTTGACAGATAATCGAGACAAAAACAAAGGCAAGTAAACGTCACCTTATTATTGTATCATGGGTCAGTCAGATGCGAAGTCGTCTTCTTGGGTGAAGGTTACGGTACCAACCACTTCACCTTTGTCAATTGGCGTAGAAGCGGGCTTTGAGACAGAGCTCTTCACACGTCGATCGCCCTTATAAATAACAGTTTGTGTCGGGGTGTTCTTAAAAACCCTTTACATTGCCTTTTGATTCGGGTTAGGCTTCGGATTTGTAGTCAGCTTCACACCTTTGTCAGAGACAGTGGGCTTCGCCGGCTCGACTACTTAGGCTACGTTTAAACTATTAAATCCACTCGATCTTAAATGCCAATTCCATTGCGCATTCGTCACGTTAATCCTGTTCACAAATCCAGTGGATTATATTTGACGTATAAGCATAAACGTACCTTTAGTTCCATTTAAAGGTCTCCTTAGAGATTTTTGATCGAGCTGTTTGTTTTGATGAGATGAACCTCCCTCGCCGAAAGCAAATTCGCATTTGCGCAGATACGGCACGTTTATAGTGCATCGGATGTTTCTCAGGCAGTTCCGACACTTGAATCGTTGTGTCGTTGCTGGGGTCTCGATAGATTCCCCATCGTCGGACATCGCTTCAGTCGTGGTCTGCCTTTGAAGTCCTGTCAGTCGTAGACTGATTAGTATCAGTCTTGACTAGCTCATTATCCATTTGAATACGCTAAAAATACAGTTAAAAATGTCAATTTTTCATTGCAAAAGGATTTGCTGCTTCAAAATTTCCCATTAGGAAATTGAAGTAAATTGTAAGCCAAAGGGCAACTAACTTCTGTTGCGATTTTTTCGATTGAAATTAATATAATTGAAATCCTAATGCCAATTCATGGTTGTAAAACCAGTTCATTCCGTAGAATTCTTCTCTAAAATAGACCTCAAAGAGATATGTTAATATGACATGGCTAAATTAACCAAAGTTACACATTTTACTAACTTCCATTACCCTTCTTTCCGCGTTTTACCTTTCCCTCTTTTTCCCAGTGATTTCACATTTTTAAGAACGAAAAATGTTCATGTTCATCTCTATGTAACCGATCTCCCCTAGACGATTGATGGTCTTTAACATGCTGCGCTGTATTGTTTTTATTTAGATCTAGATGAATTCTAATTTCATGATAAATTGAATATTTACACCATTTTCAATACGAAGGAAAATCGACCGATAGATCTTTAATTTTTTATTTGAAACGTAATGAATATTTGATATTTGATTTCACAACCATAATATTGAAATTAAAAGAGCTCGATCCATATGTTTCAACAAGGAAGTGTAAGTCTTCCTTGAAAAATAATAAAATAAATAAAACTTCACAATTTGTTTTGTATTTTAAAAAATCTTTTTTTTTTGCTTCTTAGTTTATTATTTCTTTTATAATATAAATGCTGCTTTACAGTTTTATTTGTTTATAATAATTGATAATATGAATTTTATATATTTAAAGATCTTTTAACAATTCTTTACCTTTCAACATGTTCTTTAGATATTTCCAACAAAGTTTTCTATTAGTAATAACTTTTTGCTTGTATATGAATAGATATATATGTATATGATAACAATTATTATAATTTCTTTTTTCAAAGCTAATAGAGAGAAGAGTAATTTTAAAGAAAGAAGAAAAAAAAAAAACAATGAATGCATAAATGTGCGTTTTTCCTCGTTGAAGCTCAAATTGCAATGTTTATAACATTTCGGTTTGTTGCATCAAGTGTACGTTAATCGTTAGTTTAGTGTAAAGGCGCTACAGCCACAACAAAACAAATTAGAAACCATATTTCCCACACACACCGTCACACCAATCTATTGAGTTGGTGAAAAGACTGTGGGCGATAAAATGCGGCAGTGCATTTCTCTAATCAAGGGGACGGTATAGGCAACGCATTCATCCCAGCCGGGTGAACGCCATGCAGCTTCACGTGTTTCTTTGCGATCCTGTAATGATTTGTAACCTGCAAAAGATAAATGCAATTTTTATTAAGTTATTTTGGTAAAGAAGGAAATGGAATACTTACACCAAATATGATGAACATTGTAGAGACGACCTATTTGCGAAAAGAATCCAGCAAAGGCTTCATTGTTATTTTTACGGAAGTTTATGGCACGGGCCCAGTTATTACCCCATTCAATCATGGTACCAGGTTTCAGACGATAAGAACTGCATATATATAAATGTGAAAAGCAATTAGAACTTAGTGAAATTTAAATTAAAAAATGCAGAAAAATAATAGAATTGCAATCAAGACGACAATGATGAAAAATATATTCTCCTATTGCCAATCATGGGAAATTGTCGAATCCTTAGTCCTGGTTTATACTGGGTTGATGAGGTAGGTGGCATACAACTATAAAGTTATGGCTATTAAATTAGCCTATTTAAAATCCAGACATATTCACAAATTAAATATAACAGTATTTCTGAATATTTAAATATTTTCATATTTCTTGCATACTTTTAGGTGTTGGTATATAATTTTCCTTTGAAACCGATTCGATAAAATAATGGACTTATCAAGAAGCATGCATTTATGATATATAGTTGAAGAATTGTTAAAAAAATATTTTACTGTGATAACCACCTATATCCGGTAAGGAGCATTGGTTGCGACAGTAAGAAATTTTTAACAAATTCCTCAACTAAATGTCAAAATGTCAACCTTACTTAGCTGGCTTATGACAGAACGTTTGTTCCATTAGCGGAGGAAAAAAAGATTTCCAGGCGCATCGGTTCCGAGATGTTGTCTTCCACTGATCTTTCCATCGAATATGTGGCCTTCCCCTTCTGCCTGAACCATCACTTGGCTCGCTTTGAGGATGCTCCAGCAAAAAAGGCATATTGTGCTGGAGCATCCTCATCCATTCGCACAACATGGCCTTGTCCCTGCTGCTCAATACTTTTGACTATGACTATGTCTGAGAATAGATGGTAAAACTCATGGTTTATTCGATGAAGATATTCATCGACGAGGCAGATTGGCCCATAGATCTTTCGGAGAAATTTTCTCTCAAACACTCGAAGAGCTGACTCATCAGCTTGCGCATGTGCTCCAGACTAATACAACAACACGGGTCTTTTCCAGGATTTGGCGCAGTGTAAAAATCTGTCCAAAGGTGGATTTGCCAGGTCTGAAGCCGCATTTGTATGGTCTAATAATGTCATTGGTCATTAGCTTCAGTCGTTCACACAGCTCGCTGGATAGCCTTTATACGATAGGAAGGAGACATATTCCTCTGGCACATTCGTCTTGTCTCCTTTTTTGTGCTTCTTGATAATACCACCCTTTTATCAAATCGGTTTCAAATAAAATTTCTTATTTGTGAATGAGGCTGTTGCAAATTATATACCAAAGGTAAAAAGAATCTTGTATTCGATAAAAAATACAGTCGAATAACATATTAGTAATTAATAACATATTAGTTATCCAAAAGTTATTTTCATATCTCTATGGCCGGTACCTGAACGTCTTTAAAATAATTATCATTAAAGCGTCCCCTGACAATTGGAAATGGTATATGCGTATCTACCCCTGTATGCGATTACTTACCGCATTTCATAAATATTATTGCCACTACGTTTTTCAATTTGAGGCCAATAACTGAATGGCAACAAATATTGCAAATGACGAGATCTAAGGAATTTGGAACGATCCTTCATTAAGCCCAAGTATTCCTGTAAAAAATAACATTTATTTTAAAACAATAACAATTAAGAAATGCAAATCTATGACATACCGGATCATGCCACAAATCTTCTTTGGCTTGATCGATTTTCTCAAAACCACCAGTATATTTCCATAAATGCAGACATTGATCCATATCACCAACTTGTACCGTCCATGAGGCAACCAATTCCTGTGAAAGATTTGCTTTTTTATCTCTGATCAGTTCTACAGTTGTTTTGCTAAGAATAGTATACAAAATTATTAATAAAATTAGTTGGTGATGGTAACTAGGAGGCGGCCATACACTACTTACTAGTTCTTTAAATAATCTTCCATGGAATCTGGACGGACATTGTGCGTATGTAAGGCATAGATAATTTCTTTGTCACTAAGCATGCGACTGTGTGATTCTTTGGTTGGTTCAATTTTACGTACCAATAGCTTGGAGAACCATGAATCGGATTCGTTAACAGGTGCTGTCGTAGAAATGGAACTAAAATGGAAAAGAAAATCAAATTTATTAAACAGGAAAAATGCATTTTAAAATTGTCTTTATTTTTTTACTTACCGCAGTGCAGTTGAGTTGCATGCCTTTGCAAGGGTCTTTAGTTTCAACATTTTTGTTTAAGTTTTTTAAACCTGAAATCAAATAATAAAATTTTTATTAAAATGTCTTAAAAAAACACATATTTTTTGAAATGTTTCCATGTGACGCGAGTTGAGTTAAGTTTGCAAGAATGATGACCTTTTTATAACCTCTAATGTGACCAAAGTTACTCTTTTTTTTTGAATTCTCCATTAACGTTTTAAATTTGTTTTTCCGTGTGTGTGTTTTTGTCACTTTGGGTACAGAGAGATGGAAATCTAGAGGCATGTAAAAAGTTCAATTATCATTGTTTTTTTTTTAATGGACGAGATAGATGTGCGAAAAACAATAAATGAAAATATTGTCGGACAAATCAGTAAATATGTTTTTGCGAAAAAAAATATTATTTTTTGTTGTTGTTCTTGTGTGCTTGCTTCACTGGTAGTATAGCAGGCTAGTGTAACCAAAATAACAACCGTTGAATCGGTTTTATTTTTTGTCTCCCAATGAAGGTCATACACGCAAACATTGGTAGTCACACAAGACGGTGCAAGATCTATTAATAAGGTCACCCAGCTAGCAATAGTCAGCTGTTTTTTCTCAAATCTAATGTCAAAAATTTGGCTTTAGTTTTTTTTTAGTTTTAGTTTTTTTTATTGATTTAGTTTCAACATGTCTGAAGTTGGAGTAGTTAATTCATTTTGTTAATCATAATGTATCATCTTATTCGGCCTGAAGGCTTAGTATACATGTTATTGTTGAATAAAAATTAAATTAAAATTAAAAAATTAATATTATCAACAAGCAATCCGCAGCTTTGAAGTCGACGAAAAAAGAGTAAACCTTTTTCTTTTCATTAAATTTAAGTTTTACAATTGATGCCTATGTATTGTAATTAGGGCCAACGAATTCAAAAAGGAAGGAATATTTGAGTTTCTTTGTGAAATTCTTAAAGAAACTCGGGAAATTTTAAAGGAATTTGCGAATTTCTGCACAAATTCCGATAAAACTCCAAAGGAACATTCAAAAAAATCGACATATATTCGGCTGTTTTTATTGGAAATTCGGAAATTTGTCGAAAGTTTGATCCGAAATTCGAAAAATTATTGGATGTTTTAACCTACTTATTCTTCTGACATATGTTTTCATTGTTATATTAATTCCACCGTGTTTGGGGTGGAATTTAAAGTGGCGTGAGACACTGAGACTATGTTGCCACCTTCACGGGTATAAATATATTTCATGGGATTTTGTGTGTTTTATGGATAAATTCAGAGTTTTTGTAGATTTTGCAATAAAGAACGTCTGGTATTTAGGTCAATGACAGGGCAATTAACGACGATGTGGTCCATAGTTTGGATGTCACCAAAATCACATCTGTCGGAGTTTGTTATGTTAATTCTGTGAAGATTAGGTTTCATTTGATTGTGGCCAAATCGAAATCTAATTGTTGTTGTTGCGACATTTCGGGGCATTTTAACATTCCGAAATGAATATAATCGTCTGACATAAATACTTCCATTTTTCTTGCCAAGATGTGACTACCGAAGATTTGTCGTGTTGTCTCAAATCAGATGTACAAAATTTTGGGGTAAGAATCAGTTGGGTTATGGTTAATAGCAATGAAGTCCACGTACTCGTTTCCATCGGGTTAACCTACTTTATGAGGATTTTTTTGACATATATACAATGGAATTGACAATTTAAACCCACTAGGTAATCCGGTACAATGTAAACGTACCTTAAGAACGAAACATTTATGTTTATTAATAAAGATTGAAAGAAATGTGTTACTTATTTAATGTGTAAACTGACTCTTTACATACTGTATCTTCTTTTTTGCTATGTTATTATTTTTTTTATTTATTCCAACCTGTTCGAAAATTCAACGGTTGCTTTTTAGTCGTTTGTTTTTTTTCACATCACTAATGACTGCACAGATGTTTTTCGTTGATTAGATGGTCTGATAGGAGAGTGATGCGCAGTCAGCAGCGTTGACGTTGTGCTGGCGGTAGTTGTTGTTCTTGTTATTGGTTTTCTGTCCAAATGTTTTAACAGAAATCTGCATACATTGTATATGTATAAATTCATACATATATGTACGTACGTGTATATATACGCGAATGTGTTCAAAGTTATTTTTGGTTCACAGTTCAATTGGCCACAATTCTTTATTTTCGCGTTTTTTTGGCAAAACAAAAAACAATAATTTTTCGAATTGTTACTATAAGGCGGCTTATCTAATTGTTGTCGCTCGTTGTTATTGTACTGTGTTCTTCGGTTTTAATCTTGATTAAACATTTTATTATTAAGTATTGTGTTGCTGCGCTGCAAATCACATTCAACTTACCTTTAAAAAAATTTGCGATTACAATTTGAAAACGGAAAAACTAATGTCAATTTCTTTCTTTCGTTTTTTTTTGATTGATAGTAAATGAAATGAAAAACAAATACACTTTTTTGCCGAAATAAAGTGAAGAAAAGGAAATAAAAAATTATTAATTCTCCTCTCCCAGTCAGTCGCTCGATCTGTTTGCACACTCCACACACTACTGCCTTTAATTAAATAAAAATTTGCATCTCTGCTGTATTATTGTTTTCTTTTTTATTTTCTTATTGCAATTTTTTAGGGATACTTAGGTCGATAGTTGCACTAATCGATAAATCGAGTATAGTTAACCGTTAGGCTATGTTTAGATTAACCATTTTCAACTATATCGATTTATAAAAGCAAATGGTATGTTCCGTAATGCGGTGTACACACTAGCATTTTTGAATGGCACTCTTGCTCAAATTTTGCTTGTTTGATAGTGTGGCCTCACATGTTTGTCATTCATCAGGTAACCACAAAAATATTTATGGTTGTTGGACAGTCAGTAATCGATAAAAAAGCTGACAGTCAAAAATGATAGTGTGTACACCGCTTAAGAATCCATGATGTGATGTATCACAACAACCACCATTTTTTTTTTGTCTCGACCTTCTGTCAAATTGTTCCATATAGCTAAATGGACCACATTTTTATTGTGCCATGTAAGAATCTATTCCTTTTTACTACGATACCGAATTTTCCTTTATATTATCGAAGAAAATAGTAAAATCTAGTAGATTCTTGCAGTACGGTAACAGACCAAAAATGTGCAATAAAAAACGATTTAAAGTTTTCTATAAATTATATTTGGTATTTAATTCCTAAAGGAATTTTATTGATGACAGCCAATTAAAATAGATGATTTTCCTCTAAAAAAGAGGACGTATGGTTACCTTAGGTTAGGTTTGGGGATGTGCAGTCATTAATGTGGCTGCAGTACTCTGAAACCGGTAGGTCCGTTGTAATCATCCACCAAAATAAAAATATATGGTGAGATCTAAGGGGACAAAAAAGAAGGGGGGATAAAGAGAGATGACAAGCTTGCAAGGGAGTGTGAGAAGATAAGCATGAGAAAGTATCGATGGCTATAGCGACCGGACAGAAGATATATTACGTGTCAAGGTTGCACTTTCCCAACCACTTTGGGTTTCTAATTATGCTGTAGGTTAAAACAGATTCCGTTGTTGAGAGGAAACTAAGATCGGAGGATAGTCTGAGGAGATGCTCAATTGTCTCCCTCTCCTCCTCGTCAACGCAGAGTCTACAGTAATCAGTAGCATCATGGTCCCAATTACTGGTAAAGGCCCTGATATTGCAATGACCGGTAATGATTCTTGTCCTTTTTCAGCTTTGCTCAGGTTCAACAGTGAGTGTGTCCTTTTGGTAGACAGATAGACAAATAGATCTATACACACTGCACCTAGGTACATTGTGCCAAAGTTCATAGGCTATTTCGTCGAAAAACGCCTCAAAGCCCCGATAAAAATGACATATGGGGGTGGTGTGATTGAGCCATCAATTGCTAGTTCTGTAGATTAAGATCTTCGTCTAGATAATTCGTCTGCTCTTTCATTACCCATGATGTCACGGTGTCCTGGTACCAAACACAGCCGATAGCTGTAGTAAGTTCTTCCAAAACTGTTCTACACTTGAGGACGGCCTCAGATTTGATGTAACAGATAGTCACCGGTTCAATGATCTCTGCATCCAGACTTTTTATCAATTCTGCTGCCTTCCAAAATGCGAAGATTTCAGCTTGGAAAACACTACAGTTACTATTCAGCTGTAGGTAAGCTCAAGGGCCCAACCCCTGTACCTTCTTCTTTTTGCCAAGATACGAAACAGCACGTTTGTAGTGATTCGCATCAGATACTTCACGGGCATTTCCAACCTTTGAGCCGCTGTCCGTTGCTGTGGTCTCGATAGAATCCTCATCGTCGGTCATCGCCTCCGTCGCCGTTTGTCTTTGAAGATTATTGTCGGCAAGTGCCGACACAGGACCTGTTTGAGTCCGACTTAAAGTCGGTCGGTCAACAAGATCTATGGTTCCTTCGTTGAGGCTACAACAATCACCCGGTGTAGACTTGGACGGAATCACCGTTGTGTCCAGCTCATCATCAGTCAGGGTAAGATTTAGTAGCAGTTCCTCCGGAAGCGTATCCCTACATTGTTCTTCCGGTACAAGCCTGTCTAACTGGTCGAAGATTTCCCTACTCTGCTCCTCTAAACTATCGCGAATAGCGTTATGGGTCTCGTGTAGGCCGTCCCCTCCCTCCTCCATCATAGACTGATTTGCATCAGTCTTGACTTGCTCGATTATCGATTGCATTGAGGGTTCGTCAACATTATTCGGGTTTGAAATTGATGCGTTTGTAGCAGATACAGCTACAGGTGCCAAGGCATACACACCTAGAACAGCCGGATCACAATCGCTTGATCTTGACGACACGTGGCTTGTGATCTCACCAACGATTGCTGCAGGTACTGGGTTATTAACCTCCTACACCGTATCTTTATTCCTTTTATTTTCTTGACCATCGTAGTTTATTAATTTAAGGGCACTACCCCGATCCATGTTGGTTCACGGGGGTTCCGAAGATCCCCAAGGTTTGCACGAAGTGCAGAGAAAAGTTGACCTAGGTCAGTTTCACCCTGCACATC